TGTTATAGGATCATGAGGAAGGGGATGAGTATGGAGATCTTTTCCTTCCTTCCTTCCTTCCTTCCTTCCTTCCTTCCTTCGGGAGAAGGGCAATGTCCATGGCGATCAGAAATACACCTACCCCCTGTCTGCCACCGACCGTTTCCTGCCCCCGCCGCTTTTGCAACAGCCCGAAGCCGCCCAGATCTTTGGCTTATTCTTTCTTTTTCTCTCTCTCCACACCCCCCACACCTCTTTCTTCTTCCAGTCTTTAATTCCCTCCTCGGCCATTTAGCGACGTGCCTTACGTTCAGAGGAACGGCAGCTTCAGAAGTCAATCAATAGCCAGTCTATATTCATAAAACTTTCAAAACATCGGCTCCTGTTACAAGGGACCACTTCGAGGGCTCACCGGCGGCACAAGCGCGCACGCGCACCGGGGACCCGGCCGCGGCGCCTTACTCCCCCCCTCCCTTCCGATGCCTACGACTTTAAAGGGAGACAACAGGGCCCGAGAAGAGGGGGACTTGCTCGCCTCTGAAAACACCCGGGCGCACGCACTAGAAGGGATGGGGGGGAGGAAAGGGAGGGAGTAGGACATTTTTCTCTGTGTGTGGATTGCGATGTGGATTCCCAGCCAGACAGCCCTGTTTGTTCACACGCTTTGGAGGTCAGCCTTTAGGATCTCGCTGGCGTTTTTAATAGACTCCTCCAGAAAGTAGCCACGGGTGCGGTGTGTGTGTTTGAGAGGGGGGGGGGATGGACGGACAACGGGCGGCTAATATATGAGCCTTTCTGCTCAAGACCTGCAACTCTGAAAAGCAAAATATCCTTATTTTCAGCCAACTACCTCTACCTCCCCATCCCCCTAAGCTTCAACCCTGTTTACATTTCCCCCCCAAACCTGCTTGCCTCTAACCTCCACTGCGATTCTAAAGGAGAGACAAAGAAGAGACAACGCAACACCGCCCTTTCCCGAGTTGTAAGAGACCCCCATCCTTTCTCGGCTGATTTGTTACCCACTCGCAACATCGTATTATCTTATCTTTCTTTTTTAATGCTCATGAAAGTGATGCAGCCCCCCCTTCCAACTTCCCCTCGGGCTCCATCTTATTAGACCGGGCAGAAGGCAGAAAAGAAAGGCATTCCACTCTCGGGGGGGGGGGAAGCATTTGATGGCGAGAGATTGTGGGAAAGGCAGGAGGTGCTTTCTCGCCCCCCCCATCACCTTCATTTCGGGTCCTGCCCAGGGAGTAAGGAGAGAGAAAGAGCTTCTCGGGAGGGAAGGTGTCGCTGGGATGTGTGTGCGCGTGTGTGTGTGTGTACGTGTGTACGTGTGTATGTGTTGTTGTTGTGGGGAGAGAAATCATTGTTCTCCCTTTGTTAAACAAGGGGGTGGTGGATAAAGAAAAATAAACCAGTTGTAATCTTATGCCGACTTACGTGGGAGTAAACGCAAAAGGACTTATCCTGAGATGGGAAGGAAGGATAACGGTGTGAAGGTGCAGTTCTGGGCAGACTTCTAAAAGTAAGTTATCTGGAAATCAGTGGTTCTTACTCCACAGCTGCTGAGATTTTTAGGGAACTTACTTTCGGGTAAGCCTATTCCTCCTAGCTCCCTAACCGACAAGATCCGTTGTTCGTCTATTCGCCACTAAGTAAACAGGGAGGATTTCAGAAGTCCGTAGCCCTGATATAATTTTGACTAAATAGAACAGAATGAGAGAATCTCGCTGGGTTATCTTTGGAAAAGAAAAGAAAAGGCCCAGGCTTTGGGAGAGAACAATTGGCTTAATAATTACCATTCTTTTAAACACAGACACGCACATAGGCACAAGAATAACCGCAGTAAATACCATCGGAGCTCCTTGTTCCTCGGGATGAAGTGTTGACTTGAGAGAGACAATCGATCGCAAAACCCGGGCGATAGGGCAGGGTGGTATGCTGGAAAGCCCCATATATCTGGAGCAAAGAAGCGCCCTTCATTCCCCCCCCCCCCAGGCTGGAACCTTGGGAGTTGGGAGAAGGGAGTTTCCCCAACAGCATTTAGGAATGTGACTCTATCGAGTGAGCCTATTCGAAGACACATACCTCGCCCCCCCCCCCCCGTCTTCATCCCCCCTCCCAGGAAAGAAGCAGTGGGTGCGAGTTCTTGTCTCCGGGCAGACTTCTAGTTTCTATTGTGTACCCTTGGCGCGCTGTATTATTTTAGACGACGACGATGTCTCAAATGTAGCAGAAATTTCCGTGATCTGTGGCTGCTAATCTCATTCTGGAGTTAAAATTTTACGCCTGATCTGAATCCAGCTCCCATCAAGGAGGCGCGAGGCAGGGAGGTGGGAATTATTTAACATTGCCGATTCAAGAAACGGGCCTAGAGGATCGGCAGGGCTTAAATTCTCCTAAGTTTCAACAGAACTCCGAATATGCTTAGGATCGCCTTCTAAAAGCGACTTTATGGGTGGTGGGTAGTACTTTGCGCCCAATTAAGACCCAGGGTAAATACACTCCATTTTAGAGCCTAGAATTATAACGAGATCCTTCCCCCCACCCCCCGCGCGCGCTCCCTGATCCGCGCCAAAAGAAAAACAAACTCGGCTAGACACACATTTCTGTGTCACACTATGGGGCCTCTTAAACTTGAAAAGAGTGAAAGAGAGGCCTCGGCGTATCTTAATCCGGCTCTTGGTGCCCAGACCTCTTCTCGGCCTTGTCTTTCCAGCAAGGTAATCCTGGGATCTGGCCGGCCTCGCCGCCGGAGAAGAAATCGTTGGAGGGATCTAGCCCGCCCGTCTTCCCAAGGAAAGGCCGAAGGGCGGGGGAAGCGGGTTCGACGTGGTGCGACTTTATGTGCAAAGGGGCTGGTCATCATAAACAAGAGCTCTTCTCTAGACTTCTGTGTGTTTTTTTAAAGCGGCAGCGCTGCGGAGAAGAACAAAGACAAGGTTGTGTGCTCTGCCTGCTGGTAAACACGCACGCACGCACATACACAAGCACACCCATGCCAAGGGGTCGGGTGGAGGCGAAGAGGGAAGGAGAAGGAGGAAAGAAAGAGACAGACGGGGGCTTTCCACGTCCAGATCTCTAGCATTTCCCTATTTCCAACGCGCTTTTTTAAAACCTCCTCCAACTTCGTTTAAACTTAATGATGATCATGATGATCATGATGTTAACATCATTGTTTCTGCTCACTCCCTTCAGGTTCTTCGATGCCGGCTGGTGGGAGGGCGAAGAGGTGAAATTCATCTTGATTCGCTGGATCCTCCTGCAGACACGCAAACTATAACCCGGCATCATTTCTCGAACGAGCAGTTCAAGAATGAATGGGGTCAACAGATCGCTGTGAGCCACACACCGAGAGCCTGACCTTTCCACTCGGCTACAGATTGCTGGACAAGCTTCCCAAAGGAAACGCCCGCTAAAATCTGCCCCGTCCCTTGAAGGGGCTAACAGGGGTCTTTGGAAATGGCTTGCTTGCCTTTCTTGCTGAAATCTGGAAATAAAGAAACGAGAGGGAAAAAGGCAAGCCTGTCTCCATATAAGGGAAGACATTCTCGTTTACAACGTGGCTGACCTCCTCGTGTAATTTTTTTTAAAAAAATCCAGATTATTATTGGGCACAATCCAACCAAACTAAAATTCTTAAATTATTCGTAAACTCCGTCATTTCAGAGGAAAGCAGGCATGCCAGCCTATGGCGGTTTACTCCGAAGTACAACCCACTCAATTCAATGAGTTTATAGGGTTCGATTCTCCACTGTGCCTCCTATAAATATAGCCAGCCTGTGTGGCCTTGGGCAAGTTGCACAGTCCCAGGTGCCCATATTAGAAGGGAATGGTGAACCACTTCTAAGTATTCTGTGTTTGGAGAACCCTGAAAACCGTCGCTATGGGTCAGAAATGTCTTGATAACACATGAAAATGACTTTGTTTTCTTTTGCTTCTTTCGATTTGACATGATGATGACCACGACGCAGTCTTAAACATTTGTTTAAATTTCTGCAAGAGAAGTAACGAAGATGGAGCAACGCTGAGCCATGCTCATAATGACCTTGATTACTGTTGGCGGATGCAGCAGAAGCCTTACCTCTGGCTTGGGAGGGTGATATCTCCCACAAGCTCTGCTTAGCCACTGTGTGGCTCCTGTCTCTGTTCTTTTTCTTGGTTTACATAATTCAGAGTTTGGAAACTCAGGACTCAGCTGGGAAGAGGGAGTTGATTTCTCCCAAGAAGGGAGATGGAATGCCATCCTTTCCATCAATCAGTATGTAAGGCTGTCTGTCCCCTATGCAGTTGAATTCATGAAAAAAATCCAGACCAAACTGAATGCTGTATATTTTACTCCCATGAAAGAAAACACATTTTTCCAATGTTGTCTGAAAAGGAAAACACTAATATCATACGAAATGTTATACACAGGGTATGCTTTACATTGCAGTTTCAGAGTCACCATTGCATCCACCAGAGGTACTATTCTAAAACCGATATTCACACAATGGGACTTTCTTTTTAATAATAATAATAATTATAATAATATGTTAGAAACATACAGTGTCGCATTTAGTATATACATTCCCTTGCTCGCAAGCGGAAAAAAAAAAGAAAAGAAAAGAAATCCCTAAACTCTTGTGTAACATGCTTTATTTTAAAGCCTAACTTTTAAAAACACTGTGGAGATATTACTAACAACTGCTTTTATAAAATTAATTTGACATTTCAATATATATATACATCCTTTCCCGTCATTTTTTTCTCTTAATGTTAACAATGCTAAACATAAAAAATAACAAGCTTATAGTAACATTAAAATGTCATACCATATCCAGTCAAACGTTTGTCCGTATTTTATATATATTTATAATATACGTCCTTGTAGCTGTTGGAAATACTTTTTTTTAAAGTGAAAAGTAACAGGGGCTGGAGTTTATCCCTTGAACACAAAGGAACACTGTGGTTTCCCTTGTCCCCCCTCCCACCCTCCCTTTCCTTTCCCTTCCTCCCCCTTTCTATTTTGTCTTAATTTCCTTGTCAAGTTGCTTCTTAAATTTTTATTCCCCCCCCCAGTGCTTTTTTTTTTTACTTTGGATTCGAAGGTTCAAGTCCTGTGATAGGGGATTTGGGGGAGGGGTGTCCCTCGTCCATTCAGAAATGTGCGCGTGGGCGTCCCCCTTTTTTTGTTTATTAATTTTTTAAAACATTTTCTGAACGCAACCAAAAAACAAAGAAAACAAGGAAAACCGAGAAGAAGAAAAAAAAAGCAACCGACCCCCAACCAACAATTGGGCGGAGAGGCTGGGCGTCCCGACACTCACTCACACGGGCCTGTCCACGGCGTACTGGCAAGCGCTCAAGTTGGAGGCCGGGTTTTGCACGCTGGCGTAGCCGAAGCTGGAGTGCTGCTTGGCTTTGAGTCTCAGGCTGGCCAGGCTCGAGTTACACGTGTCCCGGTAAACGTAAGGAGGGGTCGGCGGGGCGTAGGGGCAGGCGGGCGTGGGCACGGCCGAGTTGAGGGAAGGGTTGCTCAGGTTGTTCAAGTTGTTCAGGCTGTTGAGGCCGGAGCCCGGCACGCCGGCCACCGCCGAGGGCACCATGCTGGAAGACATGCTCATGGACGAGATGGAGTTGGGCGGCGAGAACATGCTCTGCGAGGACAGCGGGTTGACGTTCATGGAGTTGAAGAAAGGGAAGCTCTTGGTGGAGAGCGAGGCCGACGTCAGGCCCTTGGCCGCCCAGTTGTTGTACGAGTAGCCCGGGTACATGTCGTCGTAAGGCTGCATCAGGCCGTTGAATTGGGGCCCGAAGCCGTTCTTGCACAGCTCCGCCTGCTGGTTCCGCTCGCGCTTCCGCCACTTGGCCCGGCG